CTACGGAAGGATGGTTAGATTCGCAAATCAAATGTCTAGTTCGGATCAAATGTCACGTGGTTTTATTGAACGCATTCCCGCTAATTCTAGAACGAGATTTAGATTGGAGGGCGGACATAACTCAACAGTAGGCCTATCTACGTATCTTTTGGCTTTTAAATTGAATAGTAGCCTACCAATTCTGTTTGCCTATCAAAGATTTAGTTTCGCTTCTCCTTGTCCAACCAGAAGAGGTTTTCTCAGTTTCCAGGAGATAGCGGAAGATACAACAAATTCCTGGAATTCAGCAACACATCAGTATACAGCACCTGTGACTGGAACTTACTATGTTGATCTTGGCGTCGTCGTGAGATCGTTGAATACTGTTGAAGCGAGTGTAGAAGTAAATGGCCTTAGAAAGTTTAGATTAATCAAATTAAGAAGCCTCCATACATCATCAGAATTTATATCAAAAGGTGGACTAGTACATATGACTAAGGACGATGTTTTAACTATTGTCTACACTGGTTGCATAGCAGCTGATAATATGTCCTCCTCAATTGCAATCTTTTTAGTACCGTAAAGCCTAATTAATTAAATTCCTGGAAAAAAGACTAACCTTGACCTTTCGGCAAAATCGATTATTACTGTATTCCATCATACTGATATATTCACCTTTTTTATAATAATAAAATTTTCGTACATGTTTGAAAAAGTCACTGAATTTTACTGACAGACCAAGACAAACGCTTTTTTCATAAACAAGGCTGTCCACCTATAACTTGGCCTATAACAAAAAATTGTTGTAAAATATACAATTTTTTTCACCTTTTACTGCATTTCATTGAAAATATGAAGACCTTGACTTTGACCCACGATTTCTCTACTTGCAATTGTAGGCGCATATGGACATATACAGTATGTAAGAAAAATTGCGGTGAGTATATTATTTAATAGTCAGCTGTTCTGATTAAAGCACACATGTTGTCTGTACTTCCTGCTGGGGTTGTAGGTAAGTACTGGTCCAAATAGAACCGAATCAGAAGTAAGCCACTTAGCAGAGAGATGTAGAATTGAGGGAGGATGAATATAGAACCAAAACGTAAGAATAATATAACTGTATTCTAAAGCAATACTAGACCTGTTCACTAAGGACCTACGCCCTGCTTTTATACAATTCCTTATCAGTTGTTTATGCCTTAGCTGTCAACAACAAGGGTCTAACCCCAGATAAGGATTGTTCATAACAAACAGGGTCAAGGGTTATCATATTATGCAATAGTGATGTAAACAACAACAATTTTGTGTAGGTTACCCCTCAAGGGTCAATTCTTACATCATATTTATGGGGATTGGGAGAAAACGGCCTGGGAGAAAACGGCCCACTTTTGGGAGAAAACGGCCTACTTTTGGGAGATAACGGCCCATAAATATATTAACCTTTGATTATTACAAACATTACATATCTTCTACATATTCTTCTAGAAAATTTTTTTAGACATTCAGTAAACTTCTTTTTATGCAACATTATTTAAAGAAAATACATACTTGGATTGAAAATTAGGCTTACATTTTATATTTACTTAAAAAGAGTACCTAGGCCATTTTCTCCCAAGGCCGTTTTCTCCCATACTCATATTTATGTACATAAACACTTGTTGTTGTTGTCAACATGTTTGGTTATGTAACATCTTATCCTTTGCCTAGAAAGGGGGTTGATTCTGGCAGTTCGATACCATCTACCCTAGAGGCAACATCTACTTCAACACCTCTTTTTCTATAAACTGTAGTTCATAAGTGTACACTGTCCATTTTCAGTAGTATTGTTCAAATTCAATTGAACCCGCATTTCACAAACAAAATGCATTGCATTGTTTAATCTGATTAGTGTAATTAAATTATGTAGTCGACAAAACATGTAACATATGTCTTTCTAAGTACTAATAGGATTGGCAAGTATAAAAGAGACGCAGAGAGAGACAGAGAGAGAAATTCAAGATGTCTCTTTATAAACTTTTTTGTAAAACTATCATACTCAATGAGATAAGGTATCCTCCCCAAAAAATTCTACCTATAACCAATAATCTTGGAATGAATGTTAGAAGAGCTAAACAAGGAGATATTGAAAGAATTTGTGAACTATACATGACAGCTTTCCCTGAGGATATGGAGTACTTGTTTGGAGAGCCTTTCACTGATATTGCAACTAAGTTTCTTATACATAACTTTACGGCTGACAAGAATTTGATTGCAAATTGTTTGGTTGCTGAAAAAAATGGTAAAGTACTCGGTGTTTGTAGCACAAGATTTTCAGAGTTTGTTCTGCTTTTAACCTTTTATACTGCTTAATTATAATCCCTCAATTAACAGCTATGTGCATTACAAAGAGACTGAAGATTTTGATACTGATAGTCTGTCATTGAAGTCAATTACGAGAATGATCTGCTCCTTCGGAATGCTTGATTACTTGTCTAGAGTGAACGAAGGAGAATGCCTCATTGATTTTATGGCTGTAGATCCAGAATTCAGAAATAATGGAATTGGTCAAATGCTCATGCATTCAGCTACAATGAACGCGATAGATAAAGGATGTAAAGTGAGTTCTATTCAAAATTTGACAGCTCTTTTTTAATTATAAATTGTACGTGCTTTACCGATGCTGCCTATTCTAGCAATTGTGTCTACTCGTTTCGCCGTATAGTATCAGAGCAAGGAAATTATACGAAAAATTGGATTTTATCTTAGAAAGAATGTATAAGACTTTGCCAATATTTCTTCTTGGAGATAGGGTTGGTGTTTTTATTTTTTTTCAGAATCATTTTTCTATCTTTCTTATCTTCTTTTGTTCAAGACAATGTTTATAATGGTAAAATACCTACCGCCAACATATTCATCAGATGAAAAACAACATGAAAGAAACGATAATATATCACTTCAATGAAGAGGATGAAAGCAGCACTTCAATGAAATTATAGTTGAACATTATTCAACGCAAAATTCATTGAATTATTTTTCAAATTATCTTAAAGGGATGAGACAGAAAACGTCCACAAATGAGTCCTCTTACCCTAACCCTAACCCAGCCCTTGGCAATATCTAACCTTTTGCATTAGCCCTAACTCTTAGAGGAGACCCTTCTAAGTACAAATCAGTTGCTGTGTTCTTCTTCCTAACAATTTCTCAATCCAAAATCTAGTCTTGAAAATTCTCATTTGTGGACGTTTTCTGTCAACCCCATCTTAAAGCATGAATACAACGATATTATCACCAGAAATAGAGAAATACAGAGAGTCTTTGCTTTAGGAAACTTCAGCAAAAACATGCACAATTTCTCATATTACTTTCCAACCAATCAGCGTCGTCCGATGTTAAATTGTTAAAAGAGATTGTAAGCTTTCTCAAAGAATTAGCGGAGAGAAATTGAAAAACAGTTTTAAAATCATTAAATAATTCTCCAACATGGAATTAATGGATATATCAATACTTTGAAGATAATTGCATTGTTTGAACAGTTTTATAAGATAATAAATCTGTGTTTCTGAAAGATTACAATTAAAAAATTTAATATCTTTTAAAGAAGATTTTAAATATGATAATCCTTGGCAGATATTTTGAAATTCTTTCTCACTGTAACGATTATTCGACAAATTGATTGTTTCCAAATTTGAACATTCTTTAAAAAATAAATCTAAAATTGAAGATTCTCCATCTTTGAATAAATTTGAAGAAAAATCTAAAATTCTTAATTGCTTTGCAGCCATTATCGTCATATTTTCAAAATTGTTTAACAATGAATTTCCTCCTGCAATGAATTTTTCCAGTTTTGTTTGACTTTGTAAAAGAATTCGAACTGAATTGTTATTCGTTGTCGACTCAGTTCTGAAACAATTGGAAATGTTTATTCTCTTTAGGGAATGAGACGACGATTTTAAAGCGTTAAATATCTGTTCAAAATTGTTTTGTAGCCAATTCATTGATCCGAAATCAATATCCTCAAGACGATAACATTTATCAAGTAAAATTGCGTATTGAACTCCATCTTCGGATCCTGCAAAATAGAAATTTAAATGAATGATTCTAAGCGAATGAGCAGTTGGCAAGAGTGAATTAAATAGTTCAACCGCTCCAGTTCTTAATCTGCCATAAGTTGCTAAGTAGATTTCTTGTAAATTGGAGCAAGTTTTCAGAAAATTTGCCAAACTTGAACATTTATTATCATATAATTCATATTTAAAGAGATTGAGTTTTGTTAGACAATTCGATGAAGAAGATAAACCTTGAATCATTTCATTAAATCCAAATTTGGTGTGATTATGGCTAAAAAATCCAAATTGAATTAAAGATTTGAACGTTTTCAAACAATTTCCAAGTAATTTTATATTCAATCCTTGAAAATGCATATCTTTGAAGCAAATATTCTCCAATCTACTTTGGCAAAGTTCCAAGCCACTAGAGATTTCTTTTAGTCCCTCATCGGCTTGCTCTAAGCTAAAAACTAGAGAGATATCTTTCAATTCTCTGCATTCGATAAGTAACTCTTTTAAACTTGAACACTCTGAACCTGTAAGCTTGAACAATGTAAAATGAATGATAACCAATGTATTAGCTGACTGTAACAGCTGATTAGCGAAGACACTAAAGGATAATCTCTCAGGGGAATCCTCTGAATAGGAGAATGATTTTAAACTTGCACAATTCTCTATTAACCCTCCATTTGCAATTATACAATCATTTAATCTTAAATCTTAAATGGCCCCAACAGAAACGGCCACAAAATTTTTCAACCTAAAATATATAAAACAAGAAATGAATTAATTTTTTGAAAGTATGTTTATTTGAACAGTTGAATATATTGTAAGACTACAACTTACAAAAACATGCAATTTAACAATTCATGTATTTATAGAGCTTCTAAAAAAAATTCAGAAAAATTTTTTAGAACTTCTAATGAAGTCATCTTGAGGTTTTCAAATCTTTCCCAAATTATAAATATTTTTTTTGCAGGTTTTTATAAAGCTTACCTTGGAATCTTAATATCTTCTTTTTGGGGCTGATAGAAAAGGTCCCCAAATGAGATTTTTGAAAGCAACATTTCAGATTGAAAAATGATTAGGAGGAGTAAAGTAGCTTTTGATTTATAATTAGGGGAGGTTCCATCTAAGGGGTAGGAGCAATCAAAAAGGTTAAGGAGAGACAAGGGCTAGGTTAGGGTTAAAATTAAACATGCAATTAGGGATGTTTTCTGTTGTATCCCTTCTTTTCTGATAACATTCTTTGATATGCTGGTATAAGATCTGCTTCCCTTTTCAATTCATCTATCACAGAGTAAAATGAAACATTTACTCCAACATCACCATTCAACTGATTGTGAAACCCCTCAACATCATTATTTTTTCTTATTGCACATTGATAGATATATCATCTTTTTGGTGACCAAACATCATTCTTAATCCAGGTTCTTTCAAAATAAATAATAAAATCAACAAGTTTATCAATTGATTTAAGGTAATCCTCAATTTTGAGAAACTCTATTGGAATAATGTGAGATGGAAGGAATGATAAAGACTTGTATGATTTAGATCTACACCTTCAGCATTTGATACTTTATTGGTGGCTTTATCTTGCAAATTTCATCACATTTGCTCAGAATAATTCTGATTCTCCTTTTGTCAACACTTAAACATATAGAACATAATCCATCTAGAAATAAAGAGCTTAGTTTACATTAAATTAAATTTCCAGCTTACCTGACAAACAAGCCCAATAGACTTTATTATGACAAAGTGAGCAAAAACCTTGCCTCAGTTTATTAATATTTTTCTTACATCCAAAACAATGAGGTAGCATTGTGGCAAAAATCTCCTTTGAGCTTCTCCAAGCTATTGGCAAGAATTTAACAATAGTCCATAATATTTAACCTTTTAGGAAAAACTGGTGGAAAATTTAATATTTTTTCATTCACTATTTACTAATCACTTTAAAAAAATTTTAAATTAACTTATTCTATTCAATTTATTAGTATTATATATTTCAAAATTTTGGGGCATTTTCTGTCCCAATTGGGGCCGTTTTCGGTCGTATTCTTGTCGATCTGTATAAATATCACTAAACACTAAAAAATGACTTCATATCTAACTTTCAAATAATAGATAAGCCTTTCAATGGAATCCATAGTAACACGTCAAAACAAGCTTACAATCAATATAATTAAAAAAACATTACTAGTAAAGTATTAATAATTAAAAAATCATTAATAATTTCGGATGAAATATCAAAAAGTTTATCGTTAAAAATTGGAAAACTTGAATAGTAAAGTTAACATGAAAACTTAAAGTGAAGGCAATGAAGAGATTCTGTTTTATTATTGATAGGCTTTAACAAATGGAAATGTATATGTATTTGACCAATGATTTTATTCAAAGTAAAGTCAGACAAAACTGCATTGCGATTTTCAACATGAAATTCAATTCTATCAGTAATATGGCATATGTATATATATATATATATATATATACAGTATAGGCAAAAAGTCCCCAGCCACCCTTTAAAATTTTTAGTTTTCATATTAAGATATACTGAATAACTACTTTGAATTGGTAATAATAATGATTAATATGTAGAAACTAATATCCTTTACAAAAAATTATCAAAAAATTGATTTTCTTTTAAAAAATCCAGTTTTAGTAATTATACCTCGAAAAAAGGGGTTAGTTAAAAATGAGTCACCATCTATTTAATCAAAAACTAGGGGGCTAAGCTGCATAAATCAAATAGGAAATTATCTTATTATAATTGTATCTTTGGTTATTCAAAAAAATGGTGGTCATTGATAAAGGAATTCGTCGTTTGGTTGTTGAAAAACACCAAGAAGGGCTATCGTTGAATAAAATTGCCAAAATGCTAAAAATTTCAAGGTTCAGTGCCCAAAATATCTGGAAAAAGTTTCAATTGCATTGTACAATTGAAGATTTACCCAGAAGTGGCAGGCCAGTCAAATTAAGCAAGCGAGATGAGAGAATATTATGCCTTATATCTAGCAGAAATCCTTTCTGGGGAGCAAAAATAATTTTGTCAGCGTCTAAATTAGCCTCAATAATATCCCTATCTACTTGCAAGAATGTTTTAATGAAACAAAACTTGAGAGGCTATGTTGCAGCAAAAAAACCCCTATTAAAAAAAAGGCATTTAATAAATAGGAGAAAGTTTTGCAAAAGACTCCTCTCTTGGAACACAGAGCAAATTAATTCAATTGTGTTTTTAGATGAGACAAGGATAGATTTATATCCAAAACACAGGCAATTTGTCAGAAGGCATCCAGCAGATAGATTTCAAGCAAAATATGCCATAAAAACATTTAAAGAGGCAAATGGTTCCCTAAATATATGGGGTTATATAAAAAGTGATGGCAGCAGAGGTATACATTTATATAAAAGTAATTTAAATTCCAAAAAATATCAAGAAATTCTTGATAAATCTTTTCTAGAGAATTATAATAGGGACCAAGTATTCATGCAGGATGATGCTCCATGCCATACATCTAGGAGTACCTTAAGGTATTTGGATGAAAAGAACATTAGGCACTTGCAAGACTGGCCAGCCCAGAGTCCTGACCTAAATCCTATTGAAAATTTATGGTCATACCTAAAAGGAAGGGTTGGTAAACATATATGCACAAATGTAGATGATCTATGGAGGGTAACACAGCAAGAATTTGACAATATTCCAACTGAATATGTTGAAAAATTGTTTAATAGTTTTAAAAAGAGGCTACAGCTGTGTCTTTTCAATAAGGGTGGTCATACAAGTATTAAAAAGGTTAAAAGTATTATTACTATATTTTCATAAATATTATAATAATTCATGTATACAATTGTAAAGAGTGTCCTAAGGTAGATTTAAAGTAAAATATTTAAATAAATAGATGGTGACTCATTTTTAACTAACCCCTTTTTTCAAGGTATAATTACTAAAACTGGATTTTTTAAAAGAAAAACAATTTTTTGATAATTTTTCGTAAAGGATATTAGTTTATACATATTAATCATTATTATTATCTATTAAAAGTAGTTATTCTGTATATCTTAATATCAAAACTAAAAATTTTAAAGGGTGGCTGGGGACTTTTTGCCTATACTGTATATATAAGCTTTTGTTGGTGGATTACAGCTTCAAAACAAGGTATGTATTGCGGATACTTTTAATAAATGGTACTTATTCTTTATCTCTATTCTTAAGATCGGAAGCTTATAAATGTGGCGTCCAAGATGAATGGCGCAACATGTCAGGCTTCTGACATATTCATCCCTAATCAATGGAATCACTTTTGGCTTTTATGGTCTGATAATGAGATACAATTTGGTTCAGGTAGAGCCTATGGTCAAACCATTCTGGCAAGAATACCATCAACAACACCTTTAGACATAAGGCAGATTCTTTTGAAAAACTCTATAGAGAATGTCTCAAATCTGGTTCAAATATCAGATAAAGGTTTGTGTAAAATATACTGCAAAGTAAACTGCAAACTAAGAAACGTTTTGCAGAGGGAAAAAATGTAATTGTAAAAAAATTAATAAAAAATAATTCGAAAGAATGCCCAACTGACCAAGACTCTGATATTTCTGATGGATTGTTGGACACGTGTATGGCTATCAAATCTCAGAGAGCTGCGTTTAGCTATAAATTGATGAATAGAAAACAAGCAATGCTGAATACATCTAATCTTGTTCTAGCTTTCAAGAAAACCCAATCATTGACTGCCAATTTCGATGTATACACAAATTATTTAACGGAGAAAACTGGTAATGAAAAAATGAAAGAATGCCTACTGGAAAAATTTATTGATAAGAGTTCATTTCTCCTGTATTATTTCCACTGCAAAAGCCTTGATACAAGTATAACGGATGTCCTGTCCTTCACATTCATATATTCGTTGAACAATCTATTGATACCAGTAAATTGTACTTTTGTGAATTGTTTTACAATGATTAGTTACCTGTCTTTTATCATTTCCTCTCTCAAAAATCATACCAATAATATGTATTGAGTAAATGAGTTTCTAGTTCTAAACTAGCAAGTTTCAACAACCAGCTGACAGTTAACGAGCTAAACTGACCAGCTGGGGAAATGCATTTTCTTTTATACATTTCGCAAAGCTTGAGTTCAATTGGTCAAAGGATTACAAAGTTGAAATCTGCAAGTCTCATAATTCTTAAATAACAAAATATGAAAGATTGTTATATCACACATATAAAATAGTCTTCAGATTAAGGCTTCATGTTGAACAACAAGCCTGCCTCTTCAGCATCTGGTATTGAATAAGATGTGAGAACATTGACATGCATCGTTTCCATGTTGTTTGTTTCTTGCTAATTCCATAGTGGCTCCATCTAATATGGGCAAAGAATCTATTTCCTACGAAATAGAATTCTTTCCAAAATTCTAGAATCTAATTCTACAAAATAAAAGTCTTTTTAAAGTTCGATTTTTACAATTCCCACAAAATAGAAGCATTTCTAAAGTTCTCCAATAAAAGAACTGTTTGAAGAATTGTGTCAAGTGTCAGTAAACTATTCAGAAAATGTAATTTTCAAAGTAATTTCCTTTTTAACCAATGTCTGAAAAGACAAAGCCAAAAACATGCAATAATATGACAAAATTGTAAGAAAAAACCTTTTCCATTTTCTTATATTAAAAAAATTAAAGACATTCCTTGAAT